TATTCACACTTTTTGGAAACAGACTTTTCAAATAAAAGATACAAAAAGCTTCTTTCTTATACAGTCAATATTACCACCTCTTATATTCTGTTTAACCTTTTTAATTCCAAGAAAGAAAAAAGATGACATTTTATGGTTACATTCGCAAAAATGTCTTGCAGAAGGACTCTTTAAATCCTGTCTATTTAATGCGCTTCTGTGTTCTGTGATCCTTTCTTTTAATGAACAAGATGGTTCACCAACATAAATTTTGTTACATAGACATTGAATGATATAAATCAGATTATGTCTTCCCGGTTATAAACTCGTAATAAAAATAGGATGATTAAAAAGCTTGACATTTTTTGTGAATTCACAGTTAACACAACTGCCACAGAAAGTAAATGAAGAATAAATAAAAAAAAAAGCAAAATTATAAATAAACGTTTATACTGGCTCAAGCAAAAAAGGAGAAGAAGTAGAAGAATAATTTGCACTTTCTCCACGGTCCCTTACTTCTCACTTTGCCAAATGGAAATACTGGCATTGCATGGCTTTTGCAGGCGGTGGAAATAGTGGAAGAAAAAACGTTATCTAGATTATCCAGACGACTTTCTTTCTTCAGATAAACAAAACTTTTAAAAACTTTTTTTAGTTAGACCATCAGGTCTATAAAAAGCTTGACATTTTTTGTGAATTCACAGTTAACACAACTGCCACAGAAAGTAAATGAAGAATAAATAAAAAAAAAAGCAAAATTATAAATAAACGTTTATACTGGCTCAAGCAAAAAAGGAGAAGAAGTAGAAGAATAATTTGCACTTTCTCCACGGTCCCTTACTTCTCACTTTGCCAAATGGAAATACTGGCATTGCATGGCATTGCATGGCTTTTGCAGGCGGTGGAAATAGTGGAAGAAAAAACGTTATCTAGATTATCCAGACGACTTTCTTTCTTCAGATAAACAAAACTTTTAAAAACTTTTTTTAGTTAGACCATCAGGTCTATATAATGAAAGTAGCTAATAAAGTAGGCTAACTTAAAAGTTGATGTTTCAAAAACCACACAAAGTGAGCATGGTGTCTTAAACGGTTTTACACATAAACAACTTAACACGACTTATAAAAATACAGTTTAAATAATGTCTCACATGAGACAAAGCCTCTAAACTACTAATGCTTCTGCTAAAATGTTCAAGTCAATACTGTACAATACTGTAATATTCTGTTTTCATACTTTACTTAAAATACTTACAATACCCAGGTTAAATAAACATGAGAAACTACAGGCAGAGGTGTAAAATACTGTTGATTTTATTGTTTACTTCGATGACTTTCTTACAGTTCAGAGTAACAGCAGCAGGTAAATAGAGGAATATTTAGGTTAATAAAGAGTGCTGATGAAAAACTGAAAAAATATAAAAGGCGAGTGTCCAAAATTGAACCTGAAACCTTAAATGCGAAAATAACCTGGGAATTATTGCAATTCTGCAAAATGAGTTGCTTTTTTAACAAAAGACAATACATTCGTTCCTTTTTATTAAAGGATAATAAGCAACAAAATGTTATTTTTCCTGAAGCTCAGCATAACTATCATATCATGGCTAAAACACAGGGTCAGCTGTGATACGTCAGTGTGGTATTTTACTGTTTTAACCCTTCACTTTGTGCAACAAATTTGTTTGCATAGTAAATTAAAGTTTTGTAGCTGACATGCACAAACAGCACAGCACAGTCTCTGTGATATACATATTCCTATGGGGTCGGGCACTCATAATTCATACTTACAGAGTAATAAGCCCACTATATTAAATTCATGCAGCAAAGCAATCGTTTCCAGTAGGGTTAGCAGCCCTGACAGCTGAGGGAGACGGATAATGAGAAAGGCCATATAACAGGGTCTGAATAATATGTCTCGAAAATCTGTCCATCTGTACAATTACAATTGAGTGGCAAAGTTAAACAGATGAAACAAGGTAGGACTGATCAGGTTATTGCATGTGTTTCAGGTGATCAGTTACGATAACACTACCTCACCCCATCAGGGGAAACAATATCACAGTAAAGTGCTGTATTTAACATCCCAAACTTACATTTTTACTTTAGATCTTTGGCTTAGAGTCACCGTCTCATTCAACGTGGGTGTTGAGGTACAGCATCTATAGATGTGTTCACTCCCAGCCCCATGTCAGAGCAAAACACCAACAAATAACAGACAAATCAATACACAGTATGCCAGATACACACACACAATTAAACATACAGCATTTATATGAAATTAACATTGCTATAATAACATATTTTGAATAAACGTTTGCTAAAAATGCAAGTTTAGTCACAAACATTTGTAAAAATGGGCACTAAATGCACTCCGTAAAAAAAAAACAAAGCACAAGGCAACAAAAATATTTAATTAGAAAGAGTACAATTATATTAGAATTCACCTTAAAGAGATAATTCACCTAAAAAGGAAAATTCTGCCATCATTTCCCCTTTTGACTTTTTTCTAAAACTAAGTTATTTTGTATGGTGGAAACGCAAATTAAGAGTTTGTAACCACAGCGTATTAATTCATTCCCTCTTGACCATGACCGAACTAAATTAAAATGTTCTAAACGACATAACTAAACGAGGGAACTAATTAATAAAATACAGCCACAAACTAATAAGTTGTGGGAATTCATTCTTAATTCATAGATACGATATCTATTTTTGATTCCCCATGTCAGGTGTGGTGCGCCGTAATTTTGCCAATATACACACACAGGACAGGTTATTAGGAAAACTGCAGTTATGCCTCAAACCATCAGCGCAGAGCCAAAGAACAATTAACGTGACTACCAATCCTCCTCCAATGCATTTTTATGCTTCAAGCTCTAGACTAGAGGGCCAAAACGTAGCTAGTCTCAGCCTCAGACGCCATCTAATATTGAACTGCACACTGGTCTGTTATTGTAGGGACATTGACATTACATTTTCACGCCCCTACACATGACACTAAACAAAATGAACTGTGATCGGTTGCTTTACATGTCAATCAGACAATCTCTTCGGTGGTGCTTGGCCAATGAAAGCTGCTTATGGAATCCAAACCTTCTGCCGTCAGTCTGAAGGTCATGCTATGTGAGACAAAGGTTAGCCTACATAAGTGTTTAATGCTTGTTTAAATGAATGATGTCCGATTCTTGAACAATCATTCATTATTAACAGCCAGGAACCATTTGAAATGATGCACAATATCGAACCGAATCAAACTTTAGTTCCAGGTTGATGGTGCAAGATGCACAGCCCAAGTAGCACACAAGAACCGTATGAGCCAGTTCAGGTACATGATCAACTAAATGTTTTTTTTTTAATTGGTTCATTGAAATGAACTTTCCAAAAGAACTGGTTCGCTGAAATGATTCGTTTTTTTCATTTAGTGTGAACTTTAATACTAAAAGTGACAGGATATTTTGCCTCCGATCTTGAAAATAAAAGGAATCAAGAATGTTCGAACTGTGAAATCTGTGTATTCAAACAAGCGCATTTTATAAAAAGATTGTATCAATTACTCATTATATATTTAGAATAATGATAAATTAGTTTAATATATAGGTTAAAATAGACGATATACTTATCCAGAGAGAAAGCCCACCCACACACTCTTCTGATTGGCTTTTTGATCGATTTTGTCACGTCATGTAGCCGTGTCGTGTCTGGTATAGACAAATTGCTTGTTGATATATATACTATGGTAGTTTCGTGCTGCTTTTTAAAAATTTTGACATTACTAGACCTTTTCGTCATTGGCGTAGAGTTGCCAAAATATTCTACACTCTTAAAAATAAAGGTGCTTCAAAAGGTTCTTCAAGCGATGCCATAGAAGAACCATTTTTGGTTCCACAAAGAACCATTCAGTCAAAGGTTCTTTAAAGAACCATCTCTTTCTTACCTTTTTGTAATCTGAAGAATCTAAAAGGTTCTTCTATAACCTTTTGTGAGGTTCTTCAGATGTTAAAGGTTCTTTATGGAACCATTTAGACAAAAAGGTTCTTCTATGGCATCGTGAAGCACCTTTATTTTTAAGAGTGTAACTGACATCTTTAGTGTTCCACTGAAGAAAGAAAGTCACACAGTATTGGAAAAACATGAAAGTATAAACTAAATGACAGAATTTTCATTTTTGCACGAGCTATTCCCATAGATGTCTCTGGTCATTTATATGTAGAATTAAATCTATCCCATAAATTCAACTCAACATGTCTCTCTAAGGCTAAGCCATGCAGCTATCAATTACTTCCATCAAGAAATTAAGGGGGTCTGAGATTGTGTGGGTAATATTTATGCTCTTCAAAGGTAGTTATGCTGTATTCTGCTGAATGTGGGCATTAGCCATGCGAAACCTTCAAGGCCAGGCTGCTGTGATGTCATGCTTCTGTAATGTAAGAATGATCTGATTGGCTGCTAGGGTAGAGGGAGCTATGTCAATAAAGATGGCTCAGTGACAGACGGTGGAGCTTATAAAAGGGGGTGGAGCTACATAACTAAGGTATTGTTGGTTGAGTTCTTTACTATTATGTGTAACATTTTCAAGTATAACTAATGCCAGAAAAGAGCAGCAAAAACAGCAGCCCAGCTGAATAGAGAAGCTCTGGAGGTCGGAGCGTTCCTTCTGTCCACTAGATGGCAGATGCATTTGGATCGATGCAGCTATCAATTACTTCCATCAAATTAGCTATCAAGAAATTAAGGGGGTCTGAGATTGTGTGGGTAATATTTATGCTCTTCAAAGGTAGTTATGCTGTATTCTGCTGAATGTGGGCATTAGCCATGCGAAACCTTCAAGGCCAGGCTGCTGTGATGTCATGCTTCTGTAATGTAAGAATGATCTGATTGGCTGCTAGGGTAGAGGGAGCTATGTCAATAAAGATGGCTCAGTGACAGACGGTGGAGCTTATAAAAGGGGGTGGAGCTACATAACTAAGGTATTGTTGGTTGAGTTCTTTACTATTATGTGTAACATTTTCAAGTATAACTAATGCCAGAAAAGAGCAGCAAAAACAGCAGCCCAGCTGAATAGAGAAGCTCTGGAGGTCGGAGCGTTCCTTCTGTCCACTAGATGGCAGATGCATTTGGATCGTATCCTCGCCGTTTGACGTTCCTTGTTGTTTGGAAGAAGAGGAAAGAGAAAATTTATTGGGAAACAAAACACTAATCATCATAACTGTGGCTCTGGTTCAGCTCCACGGTATTCAAATAAGAGAAATTAAATTCTACACTTGCTCTGCAATGGCTGAAATACATTGCTTACTGAAGTTAACACACTGTGGAACTGAAGCAGAACGATCTTCACTAAGAGAACAGTACTGTCGCCATGCCTTACGTCAGCGGACAAAGACAAGGGCGATTGTCTGGCAATGGGCTATTTCAGTGGAAATGGACTGCTTCGAGAAGAACAGACCACACTCAGTGAACATGTGATCTGTTGATGGGGTGTAGGTCTTAAGGGCGTTCACACTGACAGCAATTATGCAACTTGAAATCCGAAATTTTCATGAGACTTGAAGATTTTAAGAGGCATGAGTAATGATATAACAAGTGTGCAAGATAAAGAAAAGACACTACGCCAAGAAGGCACAACTATAACTATATAGGTTATATGTTTATGCTCTGCAATGGCTGAAATACATTGCTTACTGAAGTTGTTAACACACTGTGGAACTGAAGCAGAACGATCTTCACTAAGAGAACAGTACTGTCTCCATGCCTTACGTCAGCGGACAAAGACAAGGGCGATTGTCTGGCAATGGGCTATTTCAGTGGAAATGGACTGCTTCGAGAAGAACAGACCACACTCAGTGAACATGTGATCTGTTGATGGGGTGTAGGTCTTAAGGGCGTTCACACTGACAGCAATTATGCAACTTGAAATCCGAAATTTTCATGAGACTTGAAGATTTTAAGAGGCATGAGTAATGATATAACAAGTGTGCAAGATAAAGAAAAGACACTACGCCAAGAAGGCACAACTATAACTATATAGGTTATATGTTTGGATACCTTTCTATGTCTTCTGTGTATATGCCAATGTTTGTTCATATAGCACCGTGATAATTTGAGGCGTGACAGTTCATGTCACTTGACTTGACTTTAATTTAGTTTAAAATTGATTGACTCCATAATATTACGTTAAAAGTAATTTAGTTAACATTTGTTAACATTAGTTAAATACATTATCAATCATGGACTAACAATGAAAAATACACATAGGCTATAGCATTATTAATCTTAGTTCATGTGAAATTAAACAAGTTGTATCTGTTACTATGAATTAATGGACCTGGGTTAAACCAAGCTAACAGTGAGAAAATGTGTTTTTATTAACTATCAAATAGTTAATGAGTAACTGTTAGTGTATTGCTCATTGTTAGTTAATATCACCAATGCTTTAATGTTAACTAATGGAAATGTAAAGTCCCCCTGTGGTGAAAATCAAGTTTTAGACAAACCATGTGCCAATCTATTAATCAACACCATTGCTGAGTATTTTCTCATTAAAACTGTAGTTTCCCAAAGGCTGACCCAGAAATGTGGTTTGAAACAGCCCAGGTTTGCTACGTCACAAACCAATAACCAATCACGTCAAGGGATCGATTCCTATCACTAGCATGCAAAATATACCAATACCAGCACAAAACCAAAAATAAACCAGAGCAAAAAACCCATGAAGCTGTGGTTTAATGTGAATTTAGAACCGCTAACTAGCATTATAACCCGTGGCAACAGTGTAAAAGTAGCCCGGAGTCAGATGCACCTCTCCCGCAGCTGCGTTTGCACTTCACGCGGGTATGTATGCTCGCGGGCGTGAATTAACAATCACAAACAGCTGTATTCGAGTCTTCAATGCATTTTGAGGACACAACATTGTCAAGTAAGTAACTTTAACAAATGTTACAGTATTCACTGTAGTTGTCCGCTAGTAAAAACATAGTTTTATCAGTCATTATCCGTGTATTGTTTTGCGGTTACTACAGTTCAGTGGATCAGGAGGCGCCGGCTGGTATGTGACTGAGTGGAGGCGGGACTCATTTGCATATTCATAGATC